CTCCTCCTCCTCTCTCTCCTCTTCCCCCTCCCGTCGTCTTCTTCTCTCCTCCTCCTCCTCCCCCTCCCTTCGTCTTCTTCTCGCCACCTTCTCCTCCTCCTCTCTAAGTCTTCTTCTGCTTCTTCTTCTTCTTCTTCTACTACTTCTTCTTCTTCTTCTTCTTCTTCTTCTTCCGATATTTGAACTTGGTTTTTCCCTCGCTGGTTGTCCTTGCATCCTCTACTTCCACGACACTATGGCGGGCGGTGCCAGCGACATTGGAGGGGGGAGTGGCGGGTCTGGACGGAGGAGGGGCAAAACGGCAGCAGAAAAAGGGAAAAAAAAAGTTACACAATACAACCTTTTACCCCCTTGACAAATCCCCCCCGCCCCCCCACCGCACATGACTTTCACAAGTTTCTCTGCGGATTCGGGCTCCTCTCAGCGAGCGCACTCCAACCCCATCTTCAAAAAAAATAAAAAAAAAATCCTGGGATGTTTTTTGGCTCATCTGGTTTTGCCGGACGGACCCCCCCCCGTTCGTCTGGCCCGGTCCGTCTGGCCCGGTCTGTCTGAGCCGGACGTCGGCTTAACCCAGAAATAAACTTCAAATTTCAAACATCATTTCAACCGAGGCCTTCCTACTTCGTGTTGCCACTACGTTCCAGAATCATATGAATCATCCTTCGGCTTTAAATGCCAGATAAGTGAGGCCTCTGCCTTTTCCAATTGCGCCTTTGGCTCCACTCTGACGAAGAATAGACCCACGTCGCACTCTTGAATATTCGGTCTACCTGGAGTATTGCACGCTTCGCGCCTCTCGAGGACTGACAGTGAAAACAGTCCAGAAATTCCACACGATCATATATACTGACTGACACAAAGTTTACATATGGGTCGAGGCAGGCAACGAGTATCAAGTAGAGCCGGAGCTGGCCGAATATATACTCTGGATTCGAATTCAGGTCTGCGTTTCAGCAGTTATGGGTTGCTCACTTAGCTAGGCCCTGTTGGTCTCTGCACGTGATTCTCAGGGCTTGGCTGCACTAACCAAATGTGCAAAATTAGAATGAATCTTCTGCTAGAACGTGGAGTAATACACCGCCATATGTTTTGTCTTTTGTGCATGTCGGGAGTAGAGACCCTTAGGGCCACTGCACATATTCCTAAGAAAACAAAAAGAATAAACAGAGAATTAGTGACCCATAACCGCTGATACACAGACCTGACTTTGAATCCAGAGTATATATTCTCGGCCCGCTCATACTAAACTGGAAGTCTAATGCCTATCTCTGCTTCACGATGGGTCCTTGCTAACTCGCTGTAGGGGCCCTTCGGAAAAGAGACTGGAGCAGGACACAATGAGGACATGCACACCCACACGCACACATGCATGCACAGTTTTGGGGTATGACATGGCCCCAACTTTTTCCTCTCTCGCAGTTTGATTTTTAGAAGCAAGGGGCATGTTTGCCCACCCCACCCTGTCCTTTCGTTTTTTTTTTTTTTTTTGGATGTGCCGCATCACGTGCGCGCGCGCTCTGCGCCCCACGTGCGACGACCCCGTGCACGGCATGCGCCGCAAGTATGGCACTGACCTAGTCAGGAATGGCCTTGTTGTGCATCCTTATGGTTGACCAAAACAAGCCACCACTGATAGTCAAAGCAGAAACTGACAGCAGGTCTACGGACTGTGCGGGCATGGACGGGGGATTGAAATAGAAAAACTGAAAGAGCAGGAATAGGTCCATCATGCATGTGTATTGTCAACGAAAAGGGCAGCGAAGCATGTAATTGTGTTACAAAACAACAGAAGTCTATGCTGCGAGATGAGATCCAACATCACCAACATTCATGACGCTCTTGTTGCAGTAAGCCAAGCGTGAGTAAATATATACACAAACCTCCCAAGGAACAGGCTTGTGGAGAGAGGGAGTGACATCAAAAGCACAAATGGAGCTGGACTCAGACGGACAGAGCAGCAGGACTAGGCACAAACGAGGGAACATGACAGGAAAAGAGGCTGGGTGGGTGGGTGGGCGGAAAGGTAAGGTAGAGAAGTTGCTGTACCTTACGAGAACCTTCCAATCTGTCCATCTCCATTTGTGCGAGGATTATTTTTTTCTTCTTGGCAACATATGTCTCAACGGCTTGCAGCCATCTCTTATCCAGATCTGCAATGTCTGCTGGCTCGATCTGCCTACAGAAGTGCACCCAGCGAACCATTTCAGCTCCACCCAACCACAAGGAGACAAATCGTGCCCGTTACACTCAGAAGCAGCCAGAGACCCATGCACCCTCTTCCATAGACACATCATTGTCTGTTCCTGACAGTGAGAGATCCATGCACACTCTTTTGTATACACATCCCCCCACCTCCTCCTCCTCCTCCTCCTCTCTATAGACACGCCATCACCAATTCCCGGGAGGAGATCCACTGGCATAAATCCCTACTGACACTTCGACTCTGTGAATATGAGAATCGTTTCACATTAGAGTGCGTCCCATGTTGCAAACCTCTGACACAAAATCAATCAGAGTTGCCCTTGTTCTTCACTCACTTGCTTACACCTGGGGGTTGAACGCCACGTTCTGCAACTTTTGTTCCGTTTCACTGCCTTTGAAAGGATTCATCTGGATCATAGTCTGTGGATGCAGTTCCAAGACCCAGAGTCCCATGTAACATAGGGGAATAAGCTTGTCCCAGTTGTCCGTACAATAACCCGTAGGCCCATTAAGTAGGTCGGCAGGTTATAGAGCCCGCTACATGTTGGTAGGTACCAGTCTGTCAATTACATACCAGCCGTCGGTCCAAAACTTGCAGAGCTCAGTACGGGGAAAGTCCGTGAAAACTACAAATGCATCAGAAGCAGACCGCCACTGGCAACGAACGGGTACTGGTCCGGAAAGATCCAAATTTGGAGACTGAAGCCAGTACGTAAGGCCGGTAACGGCAGACCATCAACACACTTTCCATTCAGCATATAAGGGAAGCGCTTCCCCGCTCCTGTGCAGTTGAGTGGCGAGTGTGACTGTGAGGCAAGAATATTTAGTCAACAGGTGCCCGGCACCATAGCTGATAGGGACGCAAGACTGACGGGAGACATTCAGACAGTGCACCAGGCCTATGAGAGTGGGTAGAAGAGAGAGGGAGTGAGAGAGAGAGAGAATCCATATCGTGTCACTGTGCCTCCAGTGTGTGAAGATTGGTATGCAGGCTCAGGAAGCTGGTGCTGGGTACCTCCCTCAAAGAAAGCAACGACGTGCACTGTGGACTCCCTTGGCTTTTTCATGCCATCTGCAGTCCACAGTGTGGTTCGTAATACATCCAAGCATTGTGTGAGATGTGGGATCATTGCCGTGGTACCGGAGCAGGATCTCATCGTCTTCCAGCACAAGTGATTGGAGGGCACGCGAAGCGGAGTAATCCAGGCTGGCACGCAACCAAACACGCGAAAAGAAATAAGAGAAGTGTTGATTGCTTGGTGGCAGCGGAATTAGCAACTTCCCGCAGTGACAGCAGCAGTGGCAGGTCCAACAGGAGATGTCAAGAGGGGATGGCCAGTATAGGTTTCAACTGCTTCCACTGCGGCTGAGAGTGTAAGTAGCCGTGCGTACACAGAAGCATCCTCGTCCCCCTCGCAGGCCATCCAAGCAGAGGTTTGCTCAGCCACCCACTCAGAGGGTAGCGCAGAGGCCGCTTGTTGCAGGGTGTCTATGGGCAGATCCCTTGCAGGCATCAGCGAGGAACTGATCACTCTTCGCAAAGCCTGGGCTGGAAAGAAGCGAGAGACAAGACCATCTGTCATAACAGACGTAGAAGTTACCAAAGTGAGGATAGGTGCATTGATAGATAGTGGCTCGACAAGGAGTTCTATTCCGCATAGGGCAATCATGAAATTACATCTAGGGGTGAAGGTGCAGGAGTTGGAACAACAAGTTGTTTCTCAAACAGCAAACAAATATTAATGACATCGGCGTTAGTCAATATGTAGAGGGGGGTCAAGGGATATTTCCGGTTGGAGGGTAAAGTCATCACACTCACTGGCCATCTTCGTGAGAAAATTCGCCCTTTTGACTTGTTGCTGGGTACAGAGCGGGGGAAGGCAGCAAATGCAGACCTAAAGTCAGGAGAACAGGAGTTTTGGTTACCAAGCCAAGGAAAAGGCACGAAGAAAGTCCGCCTATACCGTGACTTTGGTCTGAGGTCCTCTCTGTCTGCATGTTGCATAAGTGGCGCAGCATTCTCAAGATACAAATAAACACGATGGAGGACCAAGTCTACGTTTACGGAAAGCGTTGATGGATACAAATGACACCTGAGAGAAATTCATGGAAAAACAGGGTAGCTCAGTGGAAAGCGTTGACGGATTACCACCCCACATCAAGAATCAATTGAAAAAGTTTGTAGATCTCGAGGAGGAGCCCAAAGGAGTAGTGGCAAGAGAACTCAGGCACCATATATGGATGCAGCCAGGTAGTAAGATTCCGAAGGGCCCAGTTCACAGAATGTCAGTCACAAACAGCTAGATGAGTTACTTACCAAGGGGTGGATTAAAGCAAGCCAGCTAATCATCATGTGGAGCCCCAGTTCTATTTGTACCTAAGAAGGACGGAGAACTACGACCGTGCATTGATTGTAATTTGTAAGGGCTCGATGCCATAACTGTGAAAATGCAGATGCATTATCCACATATGAAAAAGAACTGTATGCACTGTACGGAGCTTTGAGAACATGGCAATATCATCTGCCCCGTGGACACTTCAAAAGTATATTCAGATCATGGAAACCTCCATTGCGTTAAAGACTCGATCCAGAATGTCAACAAAGATCGCACGATGGGCATGCGAGACAGACGAGTTAGAGTAGGAATCATAATTGTGGACCGCCATGCGGTGCAGATACACGTGCACCACGCGCATATTTGGGTTGAACATCGTGTGAGCATACTTGTTTTCCCTTTTATGGGGGCCACAGAAAAGAGAGAGAGAGAGAGAGAGAGAGAGAGAGAGAGAGAGAGAGAGAGAGCTGTCTCTTATACACATCTAGATGTGCCTGAAAGATGAGCTATATGCATTTGTGGAACCAACGTGCCGTCATCAAGTTCACAGGAAGGCCAGTTTTCCCACACTCATCATGACTGTATTAGACCTGAAAGGCGACTCCTATACATTCGAGGCCACAGCCACAGGCTTTCACGAACACAATCCACCCTTATCACACAACTGTATAGGACCTCAAAGGTGACTTTACACATTTGACTATGCGACGGCCGGTCTTCGAAAACGCCCCTCATCATGATGTATCGGACCTGACAAGCGACTTGTATACATTCAAGGATCCAACGGGCCAGTTTCAGAGAACACAACCCACCCTCGTCATGCCTGTATCAGACCTCAGAGAGAGAGAGAGAGAGAGAGAGAGAGAGAGGCTGGTCACAAGCCCCCCTCGTCCAAAATTGAGAAGCACAGTTTTCAAGAACACAAAGTGCCCTCATCATAACTGTATCCAACCTGAAAGGCCACTCCTGTACATCCGAGACAAGAAAGCGCCATCCTTGTAGTTCAGAGAGAGCAACCCATCTCTTCCAGAGGATACTATAAGTCCTTTTGTCATATGGACACCAAGCTTAATGCATCTTTACGGTTATGGTCATCTACATCCAATGCTTTTCATTTGCATATGCACAAGAGTTTTGCGCTGCACAGACAGCTTGCAATATGGGGATTGCAGATTACATCATCACCAAATTACCTTCCCTCTTATCAATTAGGGCATACTTACCCACGGAATTCAGCTAAGGGAGTACCGGTGTGTGCATGCCACTTAAAACCACCACTACCCCCGACGTCGAAAACTCCGGGGGACCGGTAGGGCGATTTTCAGCAAAGTATCTGTACTACCAGTAGCAGTAACTGCCACGACCTCTGAAGGGGTCTGAAGCCTGCCCCGACGTGTGAAGGGATGTGCGAAAAAAAAAAAAAAAAAAAAAAAAAAAAAAAAAAAAACCACGAAAAGTTTCAAAAAATATATATATCACAATAGAAACGAGCCTTGGGTGAAATGCGCTGCGAAAGCACAGCAAATATGGCTGTGCACGTTCCCTGTTTCTAGGGGAAGATTCATTCTCATTTTGCACATATGGTGAGCAGTGCAGCAATGGCCGTGAGTTCACAGCTGCCTCGTCTGACAACCCGCCCTCGCTGCACTACTCACCAAATGTGCAAATTGGGAATGAATCTTGCACAAAAAATTGGAAACATACACAGCCATACTTTGTGTCTTTTGCGCCCATTTCTTCTTTTTTTTCTATATATAGTTTTCGTTTTTTGTCCCCGTTTCGCAAACCACCCTCCACTTGCACAAAAAACACAAAAAGAAGGGCCTCGCTACACTACTTACGACGTGCACAGAAGAAAAGAAAGGCAACCGGACAAACTCCTCTTCACATCGACTTCCTTTCCAAGATGAAACCCTCTCCTCCGTGGATTTGCCTTGTCCGACGGTTAGATAGAGATCAACCAGCTCTGGCCACCAACACGGGAACAGGAGAACTTTGCTACAACTCCAGGTGAGTGCATCTTTCACATAAATACATGAAGATTCATTCTCTTGAGTTGCCCATGGTTTTTCCTGCATGCCCGCAAGCAACTGACAGAAGGCACGTTTTTCCTGGACACCTGCACGCGCATTTCTCAGGGAGAGTCAGCAATGACGGCCAGCTAATGTAGGAGAAGTTTTTTTCTTTCGCCTTTTTTTTTTTTTTTGGGCAGTCGCCGACCTCCCCCCAAACCCGGCCCTAACTAACCGGAAAGCAGAGTTTTGGCCATCAGGGGTAGAAGTCGTTTAATAGATACCATATTCGAAGGGGTGAAATACGACAACGATATCAGCTGTGGGCTAAGACAATGAACAAACTATCTCCGGAGGAAACGTGGATTTACTTGCACACACGGGCAACATAACAAACAGTGACTTAACTGAGAACGCTGGCGTCAGAAATCAGCACCCAGCTAAAAAGATCGGAACCTGCTGTCGGATCTGACGCCCCCACTGTTTAAACATGTCATGGATAAAAGCAACCGGCCCCCACTGCCCCCCGTTCCCCCCTTTTCCGTACCTAAGAACCCCTTTTACAAGTAAGAACAGACGGAGGACGGAGCACGCCATTGAAAAAAAGGAATCCCCCGCTTCAGTAACTGACAACCTGTTTTACAGATAAGACCACACGAACAGAATGTAGCATGGGAGGGATGTAACGGGGTGAGGTTGGCCCAGTTGTAACTTGCATGTGCGTGCCGGCAGTGCTCTCTAAGACTCTCTTTCAATTCCCGCCATGCACACGAAGATGTGAAGGCCAAACGCACATGGCAGAGCTCGGAGCTTGGCACGCAGCAAGGCTCCCATGACCCACTTGCCTAGAGAGTCCTATTGTAACAGAACCAAAAACCTCGCACTGGGGAAAACATCTCGTGTACTGGTAGCGTTGTTTAGGCCAAGAACGGACACACTTCTTTACATCTTCTTAGTACGTCCTACTGTATAAATTATCATCTTTCCAAAGTTTTAAAATCCAAACCTTACGTGCACAAGAGGTTGATGCCCCCGAATCCCCCCGTACTAACCTGAACCTTTGATTGTTTTGTTAACCAATCCTGCACAGCACCTTAGTTGGGCACACCCCCTACTGCAAGCGACTTCGCCTCTGTGACGTTGTGGCCTGTATATTTCCGTACATATGAGCGTGAGTTCTCGTAATTGTGCAGCACAGACGACGAAGTGCATACCTGCAGGCTTCCTACTATGCTAGCTAGCGTGATCCTCTAGAGTTTGTACCCAAGGCTAAGAGCAGATCGGTTCTGAAAGGACAGGCATGGCTGAAGTGACATCATGGAGGGAGTCGAACTAACTAACAACATCATCAACGTCAACAGGAAGACAATACAACTTGCAAAAGATTGTAGGTCGTGTGATGCGGAAGAGAGAAATCAATGGATGGGATTTGATTTGCTCACCTGATGAATAAGGACATGTAACTGTAGGGAAGATTTACTGCACCATATCCAGAGAGCACTGCCATTAAGAACACTCCGATGACTCCAACCCGGCTTACAAGTTGTGCCATTGTAAATATCCCTGATTCGTTCGGTGGGGGGTGCAGGGAGGGAAAGAGGGGGGGGGGGGGGGGGGGGGGGGGGGGGGGGGGGCGGGCGGCAAGAGAGAAGGCAGGGGAGACGTAAACAAAAGCGGAAACATGAAAAAAGTATCCGCAGGGTCACTCAGTCACCAAACCACAACAATATGCCATCAGAGCAAACAAACACGACCAGAGCCTCCGATGGAATCGAGCAATCTGGGATTGACCACATACAGCTCACATTTCTTGACTACTAATCAAATTCAATATGATGCAATCAGTGGAGTCTGGCCCCATCTCAGAGTGTGCAAGGGATCAATTGAGATACCCCCTTTTCTTTTCTTCTTTGTTCTCCATGCTTATGATTCACATACACCTTGGTGTGCCGGGTCTGATCAGTCAGAAAAGAAAAGGGAAAAAAAACGGAAAAAAATGATCCCTCGGATTCCCTCCCAATTGATAACACTCGACTTTAAACTGAAGTTCACTGAACTGAAGGAACTTCCCATCAGATTAGGTCTCATGAACAGAGAGAACGACCGAGCAAACCAGAATTCAGCACTTGCAATAACTCTCGCACCGCTTACAATCGCAAAGGCTATAGAGACAAGGCACACTTGCAGTGTCAGACAAACAAACAAATCAAAGAATCGCCGAACGAACAGGCAAAAAGATGTCACTATTCACTCACTGAATATTAGTCCTACTTGCTCAATCTTCTCGGTTAATCACAGTTTTGGTGTGGCTCATCCAGCGTCTGCTCGCTGTTTCAAACGCATGTATGCATGGCTTTGTGATTGATTTGAGCTACGCAAAGCTGCTACAGTCTTCCCCCGAATACAACATATGGTCATTATAGCTGAATTTGGGGTATCTTTCAGTCTAAATCATACTTGCGGCGCATCCCATGCAGCCACTCGTGCACATGTGGCGCACTGCGCATTGCGCACGTGGCACGCGCACCCGGTGCGCCGCATGGGCAAAATTCGGGGTCAGCCAAAAAAAAAAAAGTTGGGGAGGGGGTGAATCGAAGTTCCCACGCCCAGCCAAAATTAGGACATTGCCCGCGCAATTTTTTTCAGGGCCGCGCGGCCCCAAAACCTGTGTGTGTTGTCATGTTTGCCGTACACAACTCCATGCTATCTTCCTGAGCCCCTTCAGAGGTCCAATACAGTCATGATGAGGACGCGTCTGTGGAACCGTTGCTTTCGGCTCATTACTTCCAGGTATAGAAAACGACAGAACTGACCGTTGTGTTTCATTGGTGCTTTCGTTAAAAAAAAAAAAGAAAAAAAAAAAAAGAGAACGTCCGTGACAAGTTGAAAACCAACAACGTGGAAACACGCAGTAGCTATACACATGCACAAACGACAAAAAATAAGGCGATGTATCTTTCCATGTTCTAGTGAAAGATTCATTCTAATTTTGCACAAATTGGAGAGTAGTCGAGTGAGGCCCTATTACAACTTACCTGCCGCCAGAATCCATAGGGCCTTTCTCAACTACCCACGCAATTGTAGTGCCTCTGTCACATGAGGGCTGCAAGTAAGCTTCAAGTCCAGCTGTAGTCCGGTGCGATGCAAGGGCCTCGCTCCACTACTCATGCACAAAAGACAAAAAATATAGCGGTGTATCTTTCCATGTTCTAGCGGAAGATTCATTCTCATTTTGCACATTTGGAGAGCGGAGGAGCGAGGCCCCAGGCTACCGTTGTATGGCCCTCGCTCCACCACTCTCCAAATGTGCAAAACGAGAATGAATCTTCCGCTAGAACATGGAAAGATACACCGCCACATTTTGGTCTTTTGTGCATGTGGAGAGCAGTGGAGCGAGGCCCTGTCAGTAAACAGGCTGTAACTGTTTCCCAAATAAGACAAAAACAAATAAGAAACAAAAAAAGGAAAAGCAATGGGCCTATCGGGCTGAACAAAACGCCCTCTGTCGAGAATCCATAGTGTCCGTTGATACAGGCGTTTTGTTCGGTCCGATAGTGTCAGGAGAATGGTGTCATGGCACAGCAGACAAACGCCTGTATCAACAGCACACACAGCACACACACACACACACACACACACACACAAAAAAAAAAAAAAAAAAAAAAAAAAAAAAAGAAAGGCACATCAGCAGATGCGCTGGCATGGGGGTCACTCGGCCGCACTCCAGCGCACTGCCTGTGCGCGGTACGCACGTGAGCACACATCACCCGTGAGCGCATGGCGCACGGCGCACCGCTTAAGTGTGCCGCAAGTATGGTCTAAATAGTAAATACAGCTATAATGACCGTACATTGTATTCGGGGGAAGAAGGTAGTCAAAACGTTGTGTTAAACCACTAGCACCTCCACCAGTGTTGGGAAAATAGGGAAAAGTGGCAGTTTTCCCAAACTCCTAAAACTTTGGACACTGGGCCCAACGACGGCTGCCATTGATAAATCTGATCGTTAGCTGTCCTTTTGTTTCGGCCTCCGAAAAGGTTGGACGCCCACCCGAGGCCTGCTATTTTCCCACGCGGCAGCAGGTACTAGTGGTTTAAACCACCTGTACTTGGCCCAGCTATCTCCCGTGGAAAAATATAGAGTAGAAACGTTTCTAGTGGGATGAATATGGGCGCTCCTGTAGTGACCCGTACATTTCCTAAAATTGTGGCTTGTTAACGGGCACGACTTTTGGAAATACTGGTGGTTTAAAAAAAAAAAAAGAAACATTTTCCTTGCCATCATCTCTTCCATCCTTTTTTTATATATATATAATACTGATGCCATCGTTTTTTTTGGTAAAAATTCTTCTATTTTCCCTGGTTTCCTCAAACACAAATAAAAGAATAGAAAAAATGATCAATCAAGAATCGACGATGAATCGCTTCAAAAATTGAAGATCCATGTTAGTTTATCACATCCCGTTTTTCATTGCTTATTTTTAGAAGATATTAATAATTTCTATCACGATAAGGTCCCCGCTTGACCGGATTTTTCATTCTCAATTACCATACATTACAAAACAAAAGATCCGTCGCCAGAAATGAAGAGCCCAGCCTGGGTAAGCGGGCGCTTGTGCCACGGTTAACAACCAATGATCAGCAGAGAGAAAGACTGCCTACCCTTCTCAGGTGATGGCATTGGGAAATGGATTCCCATCCTCCAGAACGCATAGAGAAAAGCCACCACAAATATGGCAGCCCCCATTCCTGCTCTCTCCTTCCGTAAGCCTGCAACGCCAACCACAGAGACCATGCCGACGCCATGCACTTCAAATCACTATTCACAACAACAGATGCGTCGCACCATGCATGACTTATAGGTTTCCCACTAAGATGAAAGCCTCCATTCTTCACTTTATTGAAGTTTATTCGCACCGCCACAACCCACAAGTTTGATACAAAGACTGAGAATCGCTGAGATCTCTTCAGTCGGCTGCAAGAAAAGCAGTGCTTTCCAGATTGCACGTCCTTCTTTGCAGTTTCCGAAGTTTTGAGGATCTGTGTCAGGAAACTGACTTGATTGTCCATCCACATATGGGCCCAAGCGATGAACACCCAAAAAAACGTGTCTTCTCCCTCATGAGGGTCTGTGCCACGAAACTAGCTTGATTGTCCGTCCACATATGGGTCCAAGTGTCGAACACCGCCTAGACTACGAAAAGTGGAAACTTTAGGGGTAAGTCTACAATTTGACACAGTGGATGGAAGGGTACGTAATTTTCAAAGTCGCAGGGGAAACACGACTGGAAACTGATAGTCTGTGCGACGAAACTAGCTTGATTGTCCGTCCACATATGGGTCCAAGTGGTGAACACCGCCTAGACTGCGAAAAGTGGGAACTCTAGGGGTAAGTCTACAATTTGACACAGTGGTTGGAAGGGTACTAATTTTCAAAGTCGCAGGGGAAACACGACTGGAAACTGATAGTCTGTGCAACGAAACTAGCTTGATTGTCCGTCCACATATCGGTCCAAGCATTGAACACCGCCTAGACTGCAAAAAGTGGGAACTTTACGGGTAAGTCTACAATTTGACACAGTGGATGGAAGGGTACGTAATTTTCAAAGTCGCAGGGGAAACACGACTGGAAACTGATAGAGACTGGTAGAAACTTTCCAGCAAATCCAGCAGGCCCTTGGAGCAGAGATGGTCCAGTGGCTGTCCAGTACAGTGCAAGCCTGGACAAAGTCATGCACCTTGGGAGCTTTAGGGGGTAAGTCTACAATTTGACACAGTAGATGGAAAAGGGTACGTAATTTTCAAAGTTACAGGGGAACACGACTGGAAACTGATCGGGTCTGGCAGGGACTTTCCAGCAAATCCAGCAGGCCCTGGAGCAGAGACAGTCCAGTGGCTGTCCAGTACAGTGCAAGCCCGGACAAAGTCGTGCACCTGGTATCCGGGAAATCAGGCAACCAAGAAATACGCGCTTAGCACCCAGGAGACCGCAGGGCAGAGACATTGGAAGACTTTAGAAAACACGCAGCCGGGCAAGGGATACAGACTTGAAATCTGCACCTGGCGCCCTGCCAGCAGACCTGCATCTCACGTTCGATCTTGAAGTGGGAAAGGTACCCTCCCACAGGATCGGACACCACTGACCCCAAGCTCACCACCAAGCCCGCAGGCTCAGGTGTGGTTCTCAACAACGGGGTAACCCATTCATTATTCAACGGCATCAACCTATTTATTATTATCAGATTTACCAACGCTAGCTGCCATATTGTTTGGCACAATGGCAAGAGTCCATAGATGATCGAGCCCTTTTTCCTTCCCATGCATACAAGTGTCTCTTGCCTTCCTTCAACTCGTAGCACAAAAAGACGGACAGAAGAATTTGCACCTTCAGCACCTGCAAAGACACAAGCAGAACAGCAACCTCTCTCTCTGTTCATCATATTATGACCTCAACAGAGGAAGGACAAGCACTGTTGCTCCTTGGATCCACATCGTTCGTTAATGGTGACTGAAAAATTGAGAGTCGATTGAAAAGTAAGGCGGTTGAGTGGGGGAGGGGGGGGGGGGGGGGGGGGGGGGGGGGACGAATCCCTCAACCTTCCAAAGAGGGAGACTGGAAATGTTTCGTTTCTGTGCATGTGTGTGCCTTTGTTCCGAAGCTTCAGACCCAACGTACTGTTACCAGTGCACCCTTTGTCCCAGCAGCATCCCGCAAAAACGTTTTCCAAATCCGCTTGAAAAGGAGGATCGGCGCAGCTGATCGATCACCTACCGTCTTCACCCAAATAGAATGCCCGGTCAGTATAGCTGTACCTGGTGCAACTTTCAGTCCAGATACAGCAATAACTACCACGCGTTCTATTTGGGTGAAGACGGTGGACGTGGCAGCTCATGCAATAGGGACAGAATAGGGTTCAGATACAGGTTGCAGAGGAGGACCAGCTCAGAACTGTTTTCCGTACAAGGTACGGGCACGATTGAGTTTAAAGTTTTTTATTCAATCGTGCCCGTACCTTGTACAAAAAACAGTTTTGAGCTGATAGAGAGATTGCAGAGGAGGACCAGGACAAAAACTGTTTTCCGCACAAAGTACAGGCACCACACCGGTTGATCACAAAATCCGGGTCTACTCAGGTTTTTTATTATATTGGAGATAGGTGCTTCCATTGTAATATTGGTCTTGGTTTTTCCACGACTGATAATTGTAGACAAGAATTTAACTTCACCGCCAAGCTCGCCACCTTCCAACAATGAAAGAGTGGCTTTGTTCGGCAGTCGGCTTGAAATTATTGTAGTGTACGTAGCTGACATGCCGGTGTTCCAGCAAGTATCTAGGAGAAACATGAGGATCACCAGCAATTAGTTCTGCCGGTGAAGCTTAGGACGAAGTCCTGACTTGACCCGCAGGAGTGTGAGTGGGTCATTAAGCAGGTTCTGTATCTTGGGCAGGTGATAGATGGAGATGGGAGTGCAGCCAGAGGCAAAGCAGGTAGCTGCAATCAAGGAGTGGCCCCAACCAGAATCTCCCACTCAGCTTAGATCCTTCTTAGGACCTGCTAACTACCGTCTTCGCCCGAATACAATGCCCGGTCATTATAGCTGTATTTGGCACAACTTTCAGCCCAGATACGGCGATAGTTACCGGGCGTTCTATTCAGGTGAAGACGGTAGGATAGGAAACTGGGTCAGAAACTTTTCAATAATAGGGCCACCATCACGAAGACCGTTGAAGAAGGTGGTGGCAGTGGAATGGAGATTGTGAGTCAGCCTTCGAAAAGTGGAAGGCGGCGCTGATCAATTACCCAGTCCTCAAGATAGCAGAGTGACAATTACCAATGCTAGGCACTATGGGATATGGGCTGTACTGCAGCAAAACGGCAGTACTGGATATTGCCCGGTAGAGTCTACAGCAAAGCGATTGTCCTTGAGAGTTGTGGTGTCCACCTACAAGAGCGAGCTATACACACGGTACGCGGCCCTTGGGACATGGAGATGTCTATTAGCTAGACACTTTGATACCTTCTGTGATCACAAGACTGAGGTGGCTCAAGATTCGGCTGAAGTGCGTGATAAGTTGGCTAGGTGGTCACAGGTTTTACACACCGACGACTTCTAGCTGAAACCTGTCATAGGGACGTATAATGTAGAATATGCTCTCTCACAAAGAGCGGACTTCTTCGGTGCTATTGTGACTAAACCTGATGTACACAGTGATCTCTAGGACAAGATAGCGGCCACTTACGACGACAGCCCTGTCTTTTCAGAGAACTCCAAGCGTTGTCGAACAGAGTCCGGAAAAGTGCCCGACTACTGAATTGCAGCCGGTTTGCTATTCTTTATATCCCCAGGAAGTTGATAGGCTATGTATCCCGAATAGCAAACCCATAAATAGTACCATGCTTGGGGGTTGATAGGCTATGTATCCCGAATAGCAAACCCATACATAGCACCATGCTTAGGGAATGCCATGATTCTGACGGTCACTTTGGTTGGCAGAAGATGTATGCCTCTCTGCTGCTGCAGAAGTATCTGTGGGCTGGCACAGAGAGAAGGGGGGGGGGGGGGGGGGGAGAGGAATCAGATTGAATCAACTATGCTAGGAGTTGTAAGGTGTGTCAGAGGAACAAATCATCGACTAAGGCACCCCTAGGTTTGCTGAGACCATTGCCTGTCCCAACTGGTCCCGGAGAGATTCTGTGTCCATAAATTTCACGGACACAAAGGTCAAAAGCAGGAGTGGCGACAGTCATGTCATGGTCATCGCAGACCGTCTCAGCCAATACGCGATATTCATCCCTGTACAGTTGGAGGCGAAATCCGACGTAGTGGTCATGCAGCTCTTCATGTATTGGGTATACGCGGCTGGACACCCAACGACTGTTGTTAATGATAGGGATAGCGGATTTACAGGAGGGCAGTGGCAGGAGCTAATGAAACTGTATGGAACTAAGCTCACCATGCCACCGTGTAGCCACCCTGAGACGAATAGTCAGACGGAGCAATGAACAGCCTCCTGAGCAGACTTTGAGGATGTACATCAGGCCAGATCAGGTCGATGGGGACAAAGCACAACCCAAGGTAGCAAGCCCTTACAATAACTCAGTGCACTTAACCACCAGTAAAACTGCAAATGAATTACGTAAAGGTTGGAGGCTTGTAGACCGATCGACTTTCTCTACCCTGATCAGGTTCAGAGACTATTGCCGGGGACTAGGGAATTTGCACCAGTTTGGGAGAGAAAACTGAAGACCGTGTCCCAGGGACAACGGCAGAGGAAGCCAACGCAACAAACATAGGAGACCATCGCTGTTTGCTGCTGGTGTCGTCCGCATAGCGAACATAGTGAATCCTTCTAAAATGACTCTGGCGAGCCGACGAACGCGAGGGCTGAAGGCGCGTCTTGAAGGCTGCTCTCCCATCGCCGCTGGATCGTCGCAGTGAGCCTTTTTGTCCGCAACCTAAGTCTAAAGAGTTCACAGTGTTCACAGCCAAAGAAGGGATTTCTCAGAAATTACTGCCACTTCATTTGGGTCCTCGGGAAGAAGATGCAGTAGGGTCTGATGACCGACTGGCCATCATACATCATAGATGTAGCGCGCCAACTCTGTAGGCATCTTGCCTTTCATGCTTCCAAGCTATTGCCACTATCACTGGCAACAGGTTCCCATTGCATACATCTATGATACCACAAGATCTGTACGGCGCATACAGCATAGATAACATCCGCCGACACGAGACTCTTAGAACAGGTGGAAGAGGGCAGCCTCGGCAGCAATGTAATGTGTGGTTTCAGTTCCAAGAACCGGAATATGACCGATGGTTCCCAAAGAAACAGTTAAAAGAAACTGCTCCTAGGGCAGTAGCAGGTTATGAAAAGAAGCCCAAAGGAATAGAATTGTAGGCCGGGAAGAGTGAGTTTCAGCGGTGGACGTTGAAACCGATCTGCCGAGAGTCGAAGGAACTGACAGTCCCCGCACGCCGCCGGTCCCACATTGTAGTATAGGTCCAGTGGTCCAGTCCAGTCGGGTCCCAGGAAGGTTCAGTTAGGTCCAAGGGTGTGATAGGCTAGTTGGTTCCAGCCCAATCCAGTCCCGTCTACCGTTAGCGGTCCAGGGTCCCAGAGACGTCATGAACATTCAGACAAGGTCAAAGGCAGAGAGGCCACCTGCGTCTACACGCCAAAGGGATGGAAGCTGAATCCTCTAATACAAAGGCAAAGCAGCTGTTGCATTAATCGTTCAATTCCGCTCGTGCTGCGCTCAAGTACAACCAAGTGATGAGTGAAGCAGACTGAGAGCGAGACAGGTTAGGAGTCATCTACAGGCAGTGGCCATCATCGCTGTAGTCTACATGAACTACCGTCTTCAAACACATGAAACGCCCCGTAATTAAAGCTGCATCTGGACTGAAAGTTGTGCCAAATGCAGCTATAATGACCGAGCGTTCTCTTCGGGTGAAGACGGTATGAGAGAAAAGACATTCAGAGGGGGAGAGTTGCCTGCGGGTCAAGGTCAGACAGTGTTCATCTTCTTGTTGACTGGTGCTGGCAGCCATAGCCCCCCAGTCAGTTGTACACCAACCTGTTTGGACTTGGAAGTCGCTATGATTTAGTTTCCCTCTCTCCTTGTGTTTGGTACTGTGTGTGCAACCCGACTAAAATCCCTCTCTCCTTGTGTTTGGGACTGCACGTGGAACTCAGACTAAAATTTGCAATCACGGTCTTGTGTTTGGGACAGCACGTGGAACTCAGACTAAGATTTGCAATCATGGTTAACACACGAAGCTCGGGGCTCCTTCCACTGCCCCAGCTTTTGCGATTTTTTGTTCTCATCTCCGTTGACGAAAAAATCCGGTAAAAAAAAATTGCGGACAGAGGAAAGCTTCCGCTGTGCTAGGGGAAAATGTTAGAAACAACAATCAAGCCGTTGTCGATTTATTTTTTGACTGCCAAAACAACGGTCGAAATCCACAAACCGAATGCATACGGTTGTCCCTCCTTGTTTTGAACCACTAGACCTCTGGCCATTCGGGCTGGGAAGGCCAGGGTTGCTGTAAACACTAGGTTCGACAAAAATAGGTTCATCTGCAGTGGTGGTACTTGTATAATTTTCGATTAACAGAGTCACAGACACAACCACACACACAGCCCAATAATGCCCTACCACACAGACAGGAAATGAACAGAACATGACTCTGTGATCCGCCCATGTCACAACACCCTCATGCAACGTCATAAGCACTATTGCCTATCGCACCTTGGCCTCCCCGTCCCCCGTGCTCCAAACCCTTAGCGCACTGTTCTCTCCCTCACCCACCCACACACGGAACTCTCTGAGCCCGACCGTGAACCTAATAACCTATACATTGTTGCGTTCTTATGAGAACAAACCACAACCTGTCAGGTTTTGCAAAGTAGGAAGGCAGGTTAGCCCACAGGAGTTGAAAAGGGTGTTGTTCAGGGGATGGAGAGGAGAATAGGGAGTCCCATAGGTGTAGGCCATTCGCACGAGCCCAGCATTCGGTTGCTTCCTTACAATAGATTAGACAGTGAAGCATGAAGAGGGGAATGGGGAGGCCAATAGCTCATTTGCACGAGCGCAGTGTTCAGCTGCTTCCTTTACAATAGATTAGACATTGAAGCATGTCTAGCTGTTCCTGGTCTGGGAGAGAGGGTTAACGGACGCCTAAATTTTCAGACAGCTTGTCACGGCATTAACCAAACCCAAGGGTGATTCAAACCAAACTTGCCACCAATTCATAGAGTGGAGTCTCAGTAGACACCATATTTTTATTAACTAATTGCTAAAAAAAACAGCCGAAAAAATAAAAATAAAAATAAAAAGCGTATAAAACTGCAAGCCAAAAGTGCACTTTCATGCAAATTTCGCCAGCATTCCAATTTCAGAGAAAAAACTTAGAAATTTCAGAAATGTCAGTAGATCAATTTCCAATGCTCCAAATGAGACCAAATTTGGCACACAGCAACCTTGAACGAAAGCAAAAACAGGAAACAAAACACAAACAAACCAAAAAAAAAAAAAAAAAAAAAAAAAAAAAAAAAAAAAAAAAAATTTCCACCACAAAAAAAAAAAAAAAAAAAAAAAAAAAAAAAAAAAAAAAAAAAAAAAAAAAAACCCATTAAATTTGGCCCCCAAACCTTAATTTCAGTTTTGGACCCCTTAACCAAGGAGCAGAAAGTTTTGTGTGGCTGGAAGGGTTACGAGTAATGAGATCATAAGTCGCAAGTTCTTGATTTTGACAGGGTGAACCGATTTCAATTTTCGCCATTGGATTTTGCTTTCCAGATTCGGATCGCTCCCCAGAATCTTTCTCCATCTTCTGCTTATCATTGGTTCTGGGTCTTCTGTTCTCATCGACATCAAGTACCATAGACCACCTGTCGATTATGAAGAGCTACAAGCAACTGCGGCCTGCCCTTGTGGCACTCGTACGATTCAGCCGCAAGGGCAGGCCGCCTGATAGGACCTCCTATACTAGTAGTAAAGTAATTTCCCTCCCCCCCCCCTCTCCTTTTCTTACCCGCCGAAGAGGGGTGGAAAGTAACTGTCTACCAATCCATCATTAGAGCTTTGATCAGTAAACCGCAACCTCCGATTCATCGAGTACTCTTGCGCAGGGTGAGTGTGTGGCATACACGCAGTTCGAACTGAGGTTAGGGTCCAGATCGCTCACCATTACACCGAAGTATCCGAAAGCAATGGTAGTAGGGTAGAAGGAAGACCAGAATAGTCACCAGACAGAAAAGGTCAATCTTCCAATTGATCCACCGCGCCCTGGCTTGTTGACAGATCAAACCACAACCAACCCCAGACAAGCGAACGCAAACCATGGAAGCACACGCAGCAGAGCCCAGCCACAGATAAACCCAGGGTCTTGCAACCCGGTCCAGCCACAACAGCGTTAGGGGAATCGCAATCAACATGACAGCAATTAGGAAAATGCTCATTTTTGCCACAGACCCAGGGACACATCGACAAACAGCATATTACCTCAAAAGTGGGTGGCGGAGGTAGGCCTCGACGATCTCGAGGCTATTTCATTCTACAGTCAGGGGAGGGGCAGGAGGCCCTGGGGCGAAGCCGTGGGTAGCGCGCTCAAAACAGTGACTCGGTTGTATTCTACTGACCACTCAAAGGTTGACTTGATTAACATTTCAAACAACACACTCTCCACATTGTTCCAAATGCTCTCTAGTTTAAGTTTGACACAGCATAGACTTCAACCTCGGACAAACACAATGGGTCGAAGTGCAAATGACAAACATAAGCGCGCAAATGTCAGAAAGGACAAAAAACTTCATTCAGACAAACGCCTTCAGTCAGAAAGCCTGTTCAACGGAGGGGAGAGAGGGACTGCCTTTCAAAATGTCTCTGTCACCTCTGTAGATGGGAGGAGAAGAAGGGGGAGAATGGAGAAACGAGAAGAAAGGAAAAGAGAGGGAAAAAGGGCATAACACCAAATGAAGAAGATAAAGAAGAGTGAGCTGGCATGTTTTCACCCGAACGGAAGTCCAAGTCCAAGAAAGCATGAATAAACGAACACAATCGAAGAGCCATGGGAACCAAAGCAGAAACCCCCCAAAAAGGGAAAGAGAAAACAAACAAAAAAAAAAGGCGGAAACCCCCAAAAAGGGAAAGAGAAAACCAAAAAAAAGTGGGAACCCCCCAAAAAAAGGGAACGGAGAAAAAAAAAATGTAAACCCCAAAAAAAGGGAAAGGAAAAACAAAAGGGGGGGGGGGGGGGGGGAGGGGAAAAGCGGAAACGAGGGCGACGGTTCGGCGTGCGCTACGGCCGGCGCATCACTCAGTCCTAGCACTGCTTACCGCAGCGTAAGCCTGGTCGGCGGCGGCTGTCGCATCGCGAAACCGCATCCGCAGGTGATACCTCATTCCCTCGTTCTATCGAGGATGCTAGGGTTGAAGAACCATGGCCGATGGTATCAGCGACTAGCATTTGTCGCACCATAGGCCCTACCATGTCATCAGTAAGAAGCTTAACAGAGAGTACTGAGGTTAGTGAACTGTTGAAGAATTCTAAGACTTCAACATGGAGCAAGAACTAGCAGAGCAAGCGGCTCGCGATGCAAGATCTCAAGTACCAAATGACTACCTGCTGGAGGACTGTGTTAGAGAGATGATGAGGGCGTGCTACGAGGAAGGTATCCTCCCCACTAATATTGACTCCGGTGAAATGGACGGGAGGAAGTCAATTTTATCCTTAATTCCTCAGTTGACGAATTGAAGGTGACGGTTATCTTTCGAGACGTAGCTCGCTTCCTCCCGAACAAGGTGAAAGAAGATGTCATCAGAGCTTACGAAGGTGTTTGGATCAGAGATGAAGTATTTGGGCAAGACTTTAAGCGTGGATGGATAAAGGTGGAGAGCCCAAATGTTGTCTCCTACGTTCCGAGAGCACAAAAAATTACCAACTGGATGCTGACCAAGAAGACGGACTATATCGATCTGGCGAACACAACTTATCGTATGAAATTCAACCCCTGGATGACACAGTGGGAGTTCCACTAGACGTGGTGTTCCTCCATGACCATGTAGAGAGGAGTATTCACAAAATTGTTAAGGTGCATCTTCCCGAGTCGAATGAGAGCAACTCGAAGCTAGTCAACCTGAGGTTCAACATCGAGCCGTCAATGAGAGGGAATATGAAGGATAAAATCTTTGTTCAGACTCACCAAGGCGACGTGCTGGAAGTCCACACGGCCTCGGCAGAATCGGAGTGGTGTCGAAGATGTAGGACCACCTTCCAAACGGAAGAAACCTGTCGTAGAACTAATCGCAGAAATCAGGGAGGAACGACGGTACAACGGGGTCCTACGGCCCCCACGCGCTCCTCCCCCTCTTTGATGGCCGCTAATAGCCTGGCCAATTGGAACAATTAGAATCCGAGGGCCTTCGTCTGATCCCTTTTAGCTGGTTTCTTGAAGCTAAGAAGCCCCACCTTCGACGGATTCAGGTTCTCCCAACCCTTACTGCTGAATTTTTGCACGAATCAAACTCAAAACTTCAGAAGGATAAGAAATTGGATTCCCCTCTAATCAAACGTTCTCTGACTGAGGGTTGGATGGCGACGTCCTCTTTATCGCCACACCAGCCCGTCATTACTTCCTCTCTTGCTCAAATCCAATCAAACGTTGGGGCACAGTCAGGGAATGGGCAGACGTAACGTTGCCTCATGGAATCTGCATGGCGTGCGTGATACCTCAAACCGAAACAAACGCGGCCGTGTAAAGAGTTGGATTCACGAACAGAAACTAGACAGTCTTTGCATACAAGAGACAAAGCTATTTGAGGATAAGATTAACGATCTTGGGGTTTGGTGGGATGGCCCCCAAATCTGGTCCCCCGCTAGGGGCTCCGGAGGCGGGGTTGCTATTCTGCTCCATAGGAATCTGGGAACCGAGATTGTCGATCTTTGTGCAGACCTTTGGGGAAGATGGGCCTGGATCAAACTTTGGTTGAACGGCCAAAAATGGGTTATTGCCACTATTTATGCTCCTACTAACAAAGCGGTTCACAAATCCTTTTTTGAAGATCTCCCCCTTTTTCATCCCAAAACGAGTAGCCTGATAATTGTAGGTGATTGGAATACCGCGTTAGACAAACTGGAGGAAATCAAAGGAAGCAGTGATGTTCATGCGCTAACTGACTTGATGTCGGATTTGGATCTCGTAGAGTCGTATGGCCTTATCCACCCGGGTAATCCCGGATTCACTTGGTTTTCCAATATCAGAGAAGGGGTGGGTATGATTCAAAGAAGATTGGACTTCTTTCTTCTATCCCCTGCGGCTTGGAATGCAATCATCAAAGTAGAGGAACAAAACCAACCCCTATCTGACCACAAACTAAATATGGTCACCTTCAACTCAAATAAGTCGATCAGAGGTCCAAGGTACTTCCGAGTGAATACTCAAATCTTATTCGACCTTGGAATTATAAATGGGATGAGAAGATTATGGGAGGATTGGAAAAAGAACCTGCACTCCTTTGGAATGGTGGGATGCAGGTTCCTTCTCAAAACATTTGAGTATATTCCCGCGCATCCTGGCAGCAGGAAGGAAGCAACACGAGACCAAACTTCAAAAGTGAATCGCGTACGCCGAGTTCAGAACCGCCCAACACCCCCATCAGATCTCAACTGATAACCGAATGGGATGATTACCAACAGACTCAGTCAGACCTTTGGGCCGAACGCCTCAAAGTAAAGGGTATCGCTGTGTGCGACCGCATGACTCGAGAATCTTTCCAAAGGTTGCTTCCCAAAATACTCACTCATCCCATGTGTGAGCTTTTGCACCCCTTTGACTCCGAGCTACCACCGGCCTATGATCAATCTCAATTACGTCAATGTGCTTCCCTTTATTATCACGATATCCTTACCTCAAGAAGATTGAACGAGGAAATCCCCATGGATTTATCGGAGGGTAATACCCACTGGGATGTGTATTGGGCTAGACTGTCGAAAAACGGAAGACTGGATATGGATCGCCCTATTACAATAGAGGAAGCCTATGAAACACTTAAGTCAATGGCCAAAGGGAAGGCCTCCGAGGATGGTGGCCTTGCGGTGGAGCTCTAACACTCCATCTGGGAGGTAATAAAGGACGAACTAGTAGAAATTTATAACGTCTTGCTTGGCGGCAACCTATCCAGAGGTATGCGGAATGGTATTATCCCCTTACTATATAAGAAGGGAGATCGCTCAGAAATTTGAAACTGACGCCCCATTTCGGTACTAAATGTCTCTTATAAACTTTTGGCAACGATCCAAGCGAGACGCTTAAGCCGGTATCTACCCGCCATGGTAGATCAGGACCAAGCTGCATTTATCTGAAACAGATCTATCTTCGATAACATCATTACAACCATTGAATCCTTGGAAGTAGTACAAAGCACTCCATGCTCTTGATGCTAGGACTGGAAAGGCATACAATAGGGTAAATTGGACATATGTCCTGACCACCCTTCGGCACCTGGGCTTCCGTGATAATTTATGCAATCAGGTGATCTCACTGTACTCTTTGTCCACTACGGCAGTTATGGTGAACGACAATCTCTCCCATACCTTTAATCTGACAAGGTCTTTGCGCCAAGTTTGCCCCCTGGCCCCCTTGGCTTTCGTCCTACAAATGGAAAACCTGTTGTGTAATATCAGATCACACTCCGCGAATCTACGGCCTACGGTTAGGCCTGACTTGATGCAAGGTCAAAGCCCTTGCAGATCATCTCTTTGCGATCTCTGAAAACTCTGTTTCCTCCAAGCGTTCCCTAAAAGAATGCTTGGACGAGTATTCACAGCTCCCTGAGGCCTCAATAAATTGACAAAATCGGTATTCTTTCTACCGAGACCATACACCCCGGCTGTCAACTGGGGAATCAAACGTATCAATGCGAACTCTTCAAGGCGTTTTTTAGGTGTGCAAGTCTCCTTGCTATCTTGTACGGTAGATCAGGAAGGCATCCTTCTCCAGAAAGTTCTCCTCAGGGCACCCACGTGAGGCAAAGCCCCCCACTTATCCATATATGGTCATGCACTAGTAATCAACAGGGCCCTCCTCGTGCTGTAGTTTGTGGCAGCGGTCAGACAATTGGGAAAACACTTGTGCCATCTGATCAAAGGCAAAGCAGCCACATTTATTTGGAAACCATTCACAAGCGACCAGGAAGGATTCCTTTCAAAAGTGGCCTGGGTTCTACTCACCTTCTCCAAACAAGAAGGGGGACTGGGATTAACAGATCCCTACCGTAAAAGTATCGCC